GGAGAAGAGTCAAGGAATGAAGTGGATGATGAATCTATTGCGTCAGACTCGAGTGCAGTCACGCCTCCGCCCTCGACCTTGAAAAGACCACCAGTGAAAGAGCCAGTAAATCGTCTAGAGGGTGGCCTGAAAATTCACAAAATGGTTCATGTTCCTCCCAGTAACAATAAGAAGAATGGTGCCATGAGAAAGTGTCACGTGAGTGCTAAGCAAAAGATTAGAAAAGAAACAAGTGTCATGTGTGCAGGAATGTGGAATTCATGTGTGCAGACTTTCATGTTTCAATGTTTATCACATGAAGAAAAACTAATAAAGAGGTATGGAAAGGCATTTATTGCATAAAATATTGTCTTTTAATTAGTTCCTGAAAAATTCGTTTTTAAAAACCAATTTTTGTTGAAGTTGTTTAGAAAAAAGTAACTACATGCATTTTAGCGACATAAGGTTTAAAGGGCCTGCCAGGACAGGGGTGGGATTTAAATACCCTTCGCGCCACTCAAAGAGTTAATATTCACTGCTGTGAGAGCCTCAGATCTCAATGTTTAACAGCAGCATCCTGTTGTATGTCATTTATTGTAACTTCATATTCACTGTCTCACATGCAAACTCACGTAAAAATCTTAAAATTCATGTTTCAATTTTAAAATTATTTTTTCACATGACTGGTGCAATACATGTTTCGACTGATATAGTCATCATCATGTGCTTCAAAAATTGCTGTTGAAAACTGCTGCCTTTCCATCAATGAATACAACCACGAAAATTATCAGAATATAGGAAGCAAAGGAGAATGGAAAACAATAACAAGTATGAAAAAAACAAAATATCAGAAAACGAACTCACCAAAACAAAGCAGGCAAAGGAAAACATGTAGTCATTCACAGCAATGCTGTTCCACAACTAGTACTGTGAAACTTCATGGTTTGCATTATTTTAGAGTCTCTAGTGTCATGCCATAACATGCAATTGTTGTCATAACACACAATAAGATGCTATCCTTGCACTATAACAGGAAAATTCTGTTACTCCTGATTACATACATTAGGTGAAAGCAGTGTATCTCTTCTGAAAAGAAAGAGGTCAGTATTACTTGGATGTGATAAGGGCAGAAGAAATTTATTTGGACCTGCACTTATTTAATTAAGCACCACACCATGAAAACATATTGAGGAGTGCAGGTACAACTTCATCATTCTTGACCCTGGTACTGGATGGAGGTGAGTGGTCAGTTGCACTACACAGCTGCTTTACCTATAGGGAAAGGGTCACTGGGTGGACCCTAGAGTCAGTCTGGATGCTGTGGAGTAGTGAAAAATCAATTTCCCGCCCCAGAAAATCATCTCCAGCCATGCAACCCATAGCCTCTCACTATACAGACTGTGATATTTGAAGTATTTTAATAATGAATACTTAAAATATATAAAATAATATGTTCACTTCAGAAGAACGAATACCAAGACTCAGTATAATAAACAATATATTAATGTGCCTTTGAACAGTTTTGTAATAAATTTGTTGCTGTATTTTATTTTCATTTCATTAAAAATTGCATAACCACCAGAAAAATGACTTACTTGAAAGTACCAAACACTTTCCACAGCTTTCTGCGTATTTAGTGTAAAATGTTAATCATGTAAACGTGATAACAGCTGTGATAAATTGATGATATTTAAATGTCTAATTCACACATGAGAAGAGTGTGGTGATGTCATGTCATGGAAGGACTAAACTGGTTATTCAACATATGTAAAAATCAGAACCCCATACAATAACAAAACCTTTATTCAAAAATAAGTTAGAACAAAACATAATGAAGGTGTGCATGAACATCAATGCTGTTTGCTTATCTAAACATTTTTACAATTCCATCAATACAACACAGACCTACTTTCATCTCCAGTAATTCATGGCAATGCAATCATTAATGGAACTTTGATACTGAGTGTACACTATTCACATGATACTTACTATGAGATACTTTACAGGACATGATGAAATCACCTACACCTTTCTAACCTAAGAGTTAGTGGTGTCTGAGGCTGTATCATTACTGTAAACCCAACGCCAATAAGCCACCCTCATGCGATCCCAAATGTTTTCCCAAGAATCCATAGCTGGACGAACATCTAACAGTGCAAACTGGTAACTTCCAGGCTGTACTGCACCACCATCATAGTAATCAATAACATAGCGAACTTCCTTTCCACAGCGATCGATGATCCAGTCATGACGATCAAATGGAAGCTCATATCTGGAGGAGACGATCATAATCAAATGAGTGCCTTATTATTTACCATATATTACATCTGAATCATTTAAAATATCTGAAATGACATGTCAGTCAATTACATTCTTTATTTATTATTTATTTATAATCTTAAACTTCTTAAGGACTAGTGTCCAATATACTGCAGCTGACCACTATTCCAAAGTTGCTAACAGCGTTTATAAGATTTGCCCCGAACTAGAATTCGAGATGAGGTCTTTCTCACAGAGAAATTGGTGTGTCATTGACTGGTAGGGGAACACATTTCACGAATGATCAAAGACCGTATCACCAGAACACCAGTCCGTGTATTTTTCACATTCAGTTGTATGAGAAGTATGGTCATAGATGGCGTGTTATTCTAATCCTTCTTTCAGAATCATCACACTGATTACACCTTCCGTCGTTAATATTGCCCTCAATCTCCCTGTTCATTTCTATCACTGACTCCCTAACTTTATATCTCGACTCTACCTGTTCACTTAATTTTAAAAAATTTAAATTCGCTTAGTGGGGGGTGGAGTCCAACTAAGTCCACTCAGCACAGCGGCCACTGATTGGCCTATTGTAGCCTGCCCTGGGTGATTATGATGATGAAGAATTTGGTGGAATGAAGATTGGCAGGGGAAACTGAAGTACTAGGAGAAAATCGGCCCAAGTGCCACTTTGTCCACCACAAATCCTACTTGACCAGACACAGGATCGAACCTGTGCCGCCGCGGTGGTCCCTGTTCACTTAATAACTTATTGTAAAACATCTCCCAATTGTAACTAACCTAGGACCTCTTCTATCACATCTCCCCAACTTTACATCTCAACTCCCTATAACTGACTGCTCTGTTCCGCGTCTACATTTCAACTACGCTAACAAACAGCGCTCACTTGGAAAGGGTTATGGCCTGATTCTCAAAATGGGTGCCAGTCCAACATTTAGCTTGTCAGGGAGAGATGTTATCTTTAAGCCTTCATTTCAGCTTTTATCATTACAAGAGGCACATTAAGTAAGGGACCAAGCCCAATTAGGGTGACATCGCTCCTGCGAGACTCAGAATAAAAGCAAGGACTAATTTTTCAAAATACCTCGCTATAACTGATGGAAGATAACATCTAAAGTCTACTGATGATGCTACAGACAATGGTGGCACCATAAGCCTAAGGAGGACTATGTTGAGTTACAACTAGACGGTCCCTCCTGGGATGGTATCTCGCCATGGGCGCATCTCATTCAGGAAGAATCAATGAGTGGAATTTTATAGCCGCTGTTAAACAATTTTAAGTGAGGAACATATGGTTACAATACTGACATGAACATTTCTGTTGCCAGCTTTTTTATATGAATATTAAGAGTCTGATTTTTGTGACAAAACTGTTGGTTCATCTCCATGAAGGGACAACCCTAGTTGAAACAGCTGCACCCATTGTGATGTCACCATTTTTAAACTATTTAATGGTATTGGTTTTAAAAAATCTGTTAAGAAACATAATAAAAGGTCAAATACGCATTTCATACTGAATAATCTAAACAACATACCTATATTTATCCTGCATACCTGTCCAGTGTTATTGCACAATCATGTTCAATAAAATAATACACTATGAATCACATGCAATTTTGCTTTCAAATAAGGTAAGATATTTCTTTCATCATATAATAATAAATTAACTTGGCATTTTACAGAAGCTAAATCTACATAAACAAATAAGGCAACATCTTTATCACTCATATAAAAGGAACAGCCTTAAGCACATTTGTTTATTTCTTACTTTATTTAATTATAATTTCCTATCTGCATTTGTTATGTAATGTCAAATAGGAGGATGATTATGACTGATGAATTTGGGATGACATGAAATGAAGTAGTCATGGCCAATGTTAGGATACAATCCCAGTCCTTGCCTGGGGGACTGAGGGAAACAACGAAAAACCAAAAGCCAGGATAACTGACCTCTGGGCAGAGAATTAAGCCCATAATCTACCAAATACACAGTAGAGGATGATAGAGCAGTGGTCAAGGCAAAAGCCAACCATTTGATAGTATGCTTACATTGTGGAAACTTTCAAGGTTCTGAAGAGAAGTTTTGCCACTCCACAGCAAAAAATTACCATACAAAAAGTTTTGTGTGAACTGGCTATATTTAGAACCAGCCTGTAACACAGCATACACACTAGCCAGTTAAATTTGAACTTAACATGTTTGTGTGTAGTAAATAGTTGGTGGGACTTTCCCTGTCCAGTTCAGTTCCTGCTGCTGCTTTAACCCCAGCGAAATGCTTCCTGGTCCCCGTTAGATAGGAGGCTGGGTGGGCCCCAGAGCCAGTCTGGATGCTATGGACAAGAGAAAAGCTCTTGCTCCTGCCAGGAATTGAACCCTGGTCTTACAGCTCATAGCTGAGTCCTCACTTCACATGATTATTTTAAATCTTAGTACTGTGGTATATACAGGGTGGGGCATATTAACCTTCCCGATTTCGCAAGGTCACTGCTGAGGCTAGGGAGGGGGTAGAGTGGTGGGAATGGATCATTAGACACGTTATATCATGCAGTTTTCAGTACACACAATGGCTTGGTCGGGAGAACATCGTGTGTTCGTGCTGGAAGAGTTTATTAAAAATGGCGGTTCTGTGATCAAAACCCAGCGAGCCTTTCGCACTCACTTGGTCGGTGTGATCCCATTCCCACTGGACCAACAATTAGAAATTAGGCATCAAATTTTAGAGTGATATCTTCTGCATTAAAAAGAAAATCTTCAGGCCGATTGTGGTGTATGGGGTCCCTACTTCTTCGAAGAAGATGGTGAAGTCATTACAGTGACTTCTGCTCGATACTGTTACATGCTTGAAAATTTTCTTCTTCCGAAATTGGATGAATTATTGCAAGATCATGACCTGGAAGATATCTGGTTCCAACAAGATGGTGCTATGGCCCACACCTCGCGTCGTTCAATGGAGATTCTAAGACAAATGTTTCCTGTCTTCTTGCCTCTTTGCGGGGTGACATCGGGTGGCCCTCCAGATCACCTGATCTAACACCATGCCTCAAGGCAAAGGTGTACACACATCGTCCCCGAACTATCGATGAACTGAAGGCTGCCATCACCGAAAAATCAACGCTATTCCATGGAATATGACTCGTAGTCATGGAAAACTTCCGAAACAGGCTCCGTAATTTTACGGAAAATGGAGGGGGCCATTTGCAAGATATTATTTTTAAACCCCATTAAAATGAAACTGCATTCTACGTCCTTTCAAATCATAAAATAATTTTGCCTGCATCTTTCTTTATTTCTATTCCACGCATTTTTGAAATTGCAAAGGTTTATATGCCCCACCCTGTACAAACAGAAATTAGGAGATGTGCTTGAATACAATGTATTTTAAACATTTTCAGATATTCAAGGTAAAACGTAAAATTGTCCTTGTGATTAATTAATTTAGCATTATGCCATGAAGCCATATGGGGGAGTGGATGTGTAGATCCACATTTTATTGACCTTGGCACTAGTTGGAGGTGAGTGGTCAGTTTCATCCCCAGTCATTTTATCCCTGAAGAAACTGCCCCTGGTGCCTCTTGGTTAGGAGGTTGAGTTGACCCCAGAGCCGGTCTGCATGACATGGAGAAGAGAAAATTCTTGACCCTACCGGGACTCCAACTCTGACCCCTCAGTCATCCAGCCCATAAGCCAGTCGCTATATCGACTACATTATGCTGGCTTGATATTCAGAGTACACATTAGAATAAGCACCTGTATGAATTTTATAAATTCTTATTATATCAAAAAACCACTGTATTCTTGAAATGCATTCTTTGCAGTTTTATATACCTCCTTGGCCTTCAAGTTCATTTATCCCAATATATATCTTCTGTTGCAAAGTTCAACATTACAGATACTACACTATGTGCTCACAATTTCCTTTATCTTACATTTAATAAATACACATCACATAAAAAGAATTTTCAATAAAAGCTTAAGATTATAATTAGATCTCCATTTTGATGTTCTGTAAAATGAGTTCTATTTGAGACATGAGAGTTTATACAGGACTAACATGGATTAATGGCGGCCTGGGTTCGATCCCAGGTCTGGTCAAGTGGAATTTGTGGTGGACAAAGTGGCGCTGGGGCAGGTTTTCTCCGAGTACTTCGGTTTCACCTGCCAATCTTAATTCCACCAATTGCTCCACAATCACCTTCACGTATCATCTGGGGCTGGTACAATAGGCCAGAAGTGGCCGCAGTACAAGGGACTTAGTCCCATCTCACTAGCAATAAGAAAAACATGCATTAAAATTAAATTTCTCTAACAACTTTCATATCAGGCCTCGAACATAAAACTTCCCTGAAATCCATCTCGTATTTTTGGAGTTGAGATGCACAGATGGGCAGGTGAACAAATCCACCTCACCATTTCACTTTATGCCTGCTGTGCAAGAAATGTATAATAATAAAAATCCTGCCATTTCTTGCTTGACACAATGTAGTCACTACTTTGTCATTAATTGAAGCCAAGAATCAAAATTAAGAGCTTAGAACAGAATGTTCTGCTCCAGAATCTATTTCAACATTAAACATCTGAGATCAATGTTCATGAGAGCTATAAATGAATGACTAAATAAATAAATGAACTTAAATAAATAAAAACTGACAGTGAATATGAGAATTCACTTCATAAATCTGTCCTACAATATATCAGAATTTCATGTACACTAACAATGGCAGATCCCAATGCTAACAAAAACATGTTCAACTTACCCCAACCAGTATCTTATCCGCGCACGGGGAGAAAAATCCTTTGCACGACCTCCAAAACTCTTCAGTTTGGGATAACCACACTCCCTGGCATGAAGAGCTTCCCATTTCAAAATCTCCTGCCATGCCTGTTCATTATTGGCATTATGGATTTGAATAATATCATTCATGTCCTTTGGTGCAATGTCCTCATCCTTCCAACGCCATCCTTTACGAAGCATTGCGTTCCAGAACATCTACAACAATTACAAGCCTCATTATGTTACATTATTTACTGCAGTAAATAAAGACCAAATGTAATACTGAAATATTTGTTGTGTTGACGATAGCATAGTTCCTTCATATTATATATTGTCTGAGACACACAACAGGGTGCAACCAATGAAAATAACTCATTACTTTTGTTGTTCAGTTAATGAATGTAGTAAGTATGAAGCAAACAGAAGGAAAGTCACAAGTATAGGTGTAAAGGTGCGGCCACACAGAGTGCTATGTACGTGACGCATGCTACATATGCTATGTTCGCTATATGAACAGGAAAATATCTCCCTTTATTGCCAATGTGACTGGCCACACAGACTTCCGTACGCTATGTATGCTATGTTACCTGCATCGCAGTGTTTGATTCTTGGCTATATTTTTAAAACATCGTGCTGGACGGGCATGCGCACTGGGCTTGCTTGCAGGTGTCAGCTGCCCGCCTCAGTAATTTCCCACTCTGATTACAACACGTGTTACATATCATTCAGCGCAGTATTTGCTTAGATGAAAATGACACTGGAGGAATTAATTGAAGAAGTAAGGAAGTATCCATGTTTGTGGAACAAAGGGTTACAAGAATATCGGAACCAGAACATGCGGGATAATGCCTATATTTTCATCAACCCCATTCATTCGGAAATATTCTTTAAATTTAACTTCATCTTCATGTAAATGCTTTATCAGATGATGAAATTCACCAAACTTTGTTCTTCTTAAGTTCACGCCATGCACCCACTTCCTTTTATGTTTACACAAGGAAAGTAACAGCAAAAGCTCATTGTCGGAATCATTGCTGCCCCCCACGGCACACTATCGGCCAATCTCTCATTCAAGACTGTGCAGTTTTGTGCCAAACATAGCTTTCTGTGTGGCCATGCGGTGTANTCACGCGGTGTGGCGAACATAGCGTAGCGCTCTGTGTGCCCGCAACTTAAATACATGATGTATAAGGGGTGGGCCTTCTTGGCCCTTGCACCGTGACCACAGTGATCTACGTGATACAAAAGGAAATAAATGTTTTGGTTCAGTGGATAGCACTCCTGTTTCACACTGTGACATGACTGAATAGTTTATTAAGAGACATCATCTGTTGCTAGGCAACAAATATACAGACAACAGAACAGTTGTTGGAGGTGGTATTTTCTTTGCGGTCTGACCTGAGGTAATATAATGAGGAGCAATGGAAAAAGCCAGTCGTAATAACAAAATTGTGCAGGTGACAAGCAGAAGTCATACAAAATCTTGAGAATGAACATGTTTGTGGAATAGGACAAGGCAAAGCCAGACATAGAAAATATAAGAGGCTTAAACTTGGTGCTAGTCAAGCTTACAGCTGTTCAAATGACTAAGATGCTGCTGTAGAATAAGATATGTAAGATAGGCATGATCTGTTTTGCAAAGCCTGTACTGACAGAGGACTTGTATATAGTCCAAAAGGAAGAATTTTCAGTAACATACTATATGTATGCTTGACAAAAGGCCAGGCATATTCATAAGAGAGAAACCCACCTTCTTGTCAGAGAGGATGTTACATAAGGACTATTACTACAAGGGTTCAGTTGAAAAAAAAAAAGATTCCCGGTCATGAGTCTCAAGGAGCTTGACTCCAAGACAAACTGAGTGGCAGTAAATCACCAGTTGTAAAGGAACTCTGACTTTGACTTGAGCCAGTCAGTTGCAAGCCAGCTGCTATCCATGTGAGCACTGAAGCAAGGAATATCCGAGATCGACCGAGGTTCCGTCATATGATATGTAATAAATACTGCTATGGATTCTGCATCTCACAAATTGATTCAGTACCCTTTCCTAGGTCAGTGAAAGCCATAAAGACAACACTAACCATATCTGGAGGTTTGTAGTGATTTGTAGCATGTGTATATCTGTGACATGGAATTCCATGAAGCTGAAAAGTGGCACATGTGCACCTTCATCCTTATGTTGCCCCCATTTTTAATCTACTTTCTCTATTTTATAAGGAAAGAAAGTGAATGAGTGTGCATGTGTGTCCATGTTTATGACCTATATTCATGCAAAATTTCAAATGTTTAAGGGAATGGTTCACTACTTACTACCAACAAACCAATATCTAAATACAGATCTCACAGGGTTGCCATGCTGTTGTTTTCATATGATGAAGTGCTTTTAAAAAGTACATTTTTAAATTATTTATTACCACATAAAATTTCAGGTCCTTGTATTCAGTGATATTAATGTTGCTCCAAATATTTCAACTTAATCATGATGTATGGTATAACATTCTGGTGTAGCTCTTCTGACACTAACAAAGTATTACTTCTATTATAAACATAAGTTATTAGAATCATGGCAGGTGTGAAGTAAAGAAAAAAATCAAACAGATTTATTTAAGAGATTCCACATACTACATCCAATCAGTAACTACGAGTATTTATTGGCTGTGACAACTATTTTTATTGTTTTCGTCCTGTTGTGTGAATACTGCTGAACGTGTAAAATTAATATTGGCTGTGACAATATTTGTAATTAACAACTCAGAAGTCCATTCAGTCAAAAAGAAGGCACAAGCACGATCTTCACAGACCAGGTGTGAATCTTACAATCTATCAAAAATGAAGTCACCTACACTGGAATAAAACAAAACAACACTGAATTAAAGAATTAAATCACAAATTGTCAATGAATAATCCGTCGAGTGTAACAATGTTTTTTGGTCACTTATTTATTTCACTCGCCTTACATGTTTCGGTTCAAAAGAACCATCATCAGAGGCACGTTACAAACACATGAAACCACTGGCGTTGTATTGTACACAGTATGTAAGCTGCGTGATCTGCTACAGATATCGATTATTCATTGACAATTTGTGATTGATAGTGTAATGGACCAAATATGAAACAATTCAAAGAATTAAATGTTTACCTCCCAGCAGTACAAAATTCACACCACCACTGAAAGAACTCATTCTCACACCTTCTGCTCAGCAAAGAATTTACATTACTAAGGAATGTTTGGCAGACTGTAAACAGGTGTTTGATTTTAAATTTTTATGTATATTTAAATAAATTTACTGTGATCAAGTGTCTGATTGTAGTTCATGATTTTTAACAAACCTACTTATCTCCAAACTAACTTCACAATTATTATGGAACCATTTATACTGTGACTGTGTATGCATTTTAATCTGCTGCTGTAATCTGTGCCTTGGGAATGCTTTGTAACTCTATAATGTGTTTCTACATGTGATATCTTTTACTCTGACTTGTCCCACAACCTGCTCTCTATGATCTACCCATGTGTCTGTTTAACCTAATATAATGTAACCTACACAATCCAACCACCCACCTAATCTGTCTGTCCACCCACTGATCCACAAATCTACAGTTTACATACCTGCCATGTTCTTAATACTTGTGGAAGAAAAGTAAAAAACTATGAAGATGGGGTGAATTATAGCGACATGGAGTACTCTTGTGAAGAGCCGGATCATCTGACTCTTACAAGCTTGTTAGCCAGAATCTTAGCTGTTACCTCCTCAGAAATGGCATATTCTGCTCAGTCAGGGTAGACCAATTCCTCTATTTGAGAAAGGCACTGTATAAAGCTTCAATGAAATCCATCAACTGGTTTAAAAGTTATGTTATTTATGAATTATTTAATGATGCTGTCAATAGCTCAATTTATATAATGTCAAATGGTAGGCTAACTGGTGATTAATGAATTAGAATGATGTGGAAAGAAGAAGTCAATCTTAATTTAAGGCTCTATCATGGCACATGTCTGGAGAGACTGGAAAAAGAACATAAAAAATTTCTGACAGAAGAGCAGGTCTAAAGAACCAGTTTTAAACACCAGGACTTCTGGATACGAAGGAGTTCCACCCATTTTACCATGAAAGAAAGTTGTTAAGAGGGATGCAGAGTCTCATCTTTCTTACAAAATAAGGAGAATATATTAAAATTGTCCTGTCCTCTCGAATGTACTGCACCCCCAGAATTTGAGACTGACAGACCAGTAGCTCCTTACATGTTTCCACTTACAAACTGTGCTAATATCCAGCTACTGTTTGAGACAAGATATTATTCAGTTGCTGTGCTAGCACAAGGCTTCTCTTTCAAATCTGACCAATAGTTATAATTTTCATTTTTACACTCTGTTAGTAATTGAAAACTGGTTGCTGCTTACACTTTCTGTGCTAATAAATACAACCAATGACAATTTAAAGTTTCTGTTCTAGGTTCCAGGTTTATCTGAGGCATAATCACTATTTACAGTGCTACCTGAGACATGGTCACTATTTACACTGCTAATTCCTGGCTATTTGAGACATGGTCCTTATTTAGAGTGCTACTTTCTGGCTGCTATTTGAGACATGGTCACTATTTACATTCCATCAAATCTCCATAGGCATTACCACCAGTAAAGGTACAATAGGACATATGGAGGATTTAAGACCACAGAAACTGTTTTCAAGACTAATTATACTGTCATATTATTATCTCTGTATTACTATATTATTATTATTATTATTTATTATAATTTGGCATACTATTTCTGTATTATTATATTCTTATTACTGTTTAGTATTAGTATTAATATTAATCTTTGACTTGTCCCATATCATGTATAATGATTCATGGATGAAATAAAATAAAATTGAATTGAATTGTTACTTTCTGGCTACTATTTGAGACACTGTCACTGTCTTTAGTGTTACTTTCTGGCTACTATTTGAGACATGGTCCCCATTTACAGTGTTACTTTCTGGCTACTATCTGAGACACTGTCATTGTCTTTAGTCCTATCTGAAAATGCGTTCTCAGTATGTTGAAGTAACATCTAATGATAATAGGTACTCGAGAAATCGGTTTAGCTCGATAAGGAGGAATATAAAATTTGGAATACCGCAAGGGTCTACATTGGGCCCGCTTTTGTTTCTTTTATACATAAATGATTTACCCCAACATATAACAAATGGGGAGGTTGTTCTCTTCGCAGACGATACAAATATATTGGTTATTGATAAAGATAAAAGCATCCTTCAAGATAAAATAAAGAGAATTATGATCCAACTGGAATCTTGGTTTTCAAAAAACAATATGATTATAAATAATGATAAGACTAAAGCTATGTTATTCCAGTTAAAGAAACCGCATGACATCTCAGGGCCAGATATTATTTTTAATAATATAAAAATTAAGTATACATCTCAGTTTAGATTTTTAGGTATTAATATAACTCAAAATCTCAAATGGAGTGTACATATTCAGTCCTTGTGTTCAAAATTGAATAAAGTATGTTATATTATTAAATCTTTGAAAGATGAGGTAAGTTTACATATACTCAGGAATATATACTTTGCCAAATTTCAATCGTTGGTAAGTTATGGGTTGATTTTTTGGGGAGGAGAAAATGAAAGTNATGATCTTCATGTACAACAATGTAACACATCAGTTTTTAAGAAAAGTGTTATTAATGTGGGCATTAAATTATATAATATACTTCCTTTGGAAGTTAAAAAGTCAAAGGGATGTAACGAATTTAAGCATAAATTAAAATTATTTTTATTTGATCGTCCTTTCTATACATTGAATGAATTTCTTCAACAGGGACATGAGGAAGCATAGCATTTGTAATAGTTATTGTTATGTTTTTGAGAGTTTTTATTGGTGTTGTGGGGCAGGTGCAGTGTTGGTTTTGGTCTGGTGTATTCTGGGATTGTAGAGCTTTTGACAGTGATGTGTTCGGTGAGTTGACATGTTCAAGTGTTGCAGTTGTAACAGTATGAATGCAAATGAAATGAATATGAATATGAATATGAATGATATGAAAAATTTTAAAATTCAGTTGACATTTTTATTACAAAACTCTTTTTTATACTTGTGATGAATTTGCCTAGAAATAAGGATAATAACATAAAAAAATTTTTAATATTGAATAATTTTACGTATAGTGATGTAAGACTGTTTTTTATATAAATTTAACACATGGTTTTTATCTATTACAATGATTATAATCTGTACATATATATTTATATTTGTATTGTACTATATTAACTATGTGACTGGTTCTATATCTATGTATATGGATTTATGGAATATACAATAAATGAATGAATGAATGAATGTTACTTTCTGGCTGCTATTTGAGACATGGTCACTATTTACAGTGTTACTTTCTGGCTACTATTTGAGACAATGTACCTATTTAAAGTGTTACTTTCTCGTTACTATTTGAGACACTGTCACTGTCTATAGTTACTTTCTGGCTACTATCTGAGACATGGTCACTATTTACAGTGTTACTTTTTGGTTACTATTTGAGACACTGTCACTATCTACAGTGTTACTTTCTGGCCACTATTTCAGACACTGTCACTATCTACAGTGTTACTTTCTGACTACTATTTGAGATATGGTCACTATTTACAGTGCTAGTTGCCTACTGCTATTTGAAACTCAGGCACTACTATATCTGTGCTAGTATGAAGTTGCTATCTGAGACCAAGCCACTAATTATATGCTAGTACTGGTCTACTATTTGTAACCTGGCTATTATTTACAATTTCTATGCTAATAACGGCATGTATCCAGCTACACTACAAACCAAGGTCACTATTTTTGCCCACAAATTTAATCATTCATTCATTATAAATAAACATACCTGCTGAGATGGATAAACCCAGAACTCATTCTCCATACCAGCTTTGGGGATGGATGATGTCTGTCGCTCAGTTGGAAGGGGAAATGGTTGATCTGGGGCTGGAAGCTGGTTCGGTGGGGGCATCTATATCAAATGAAGAAACATTATTTATGTAAATTTTATACTAATACAGTATGCCTCTTCGTTATATAAAGGATGTGATTTTAAAATATGTTTGTATCATAGAATTCTGTAATACAAACCCTATTACTCCAGTGACTCCTACATCACAAACAGAGATGTTCATATAGAAATTTCTTTGGATCACAGTCCTAATAAAAATACACTATTCTATTCAACAGAAATAATAACAGGTAGACAAGAATCAATTTAAAAGAGACTTTAAAAATTTCAACTTCACTGACTAGAAATTTTGAGTTGTGGGTAATGTGACGGTAACAAAATAGTTCCAGCAATTTCCCTGCATCACTGAAGCATCCATGTAGGCCAGCCAATGGCCTGCTACATAAGCAATGCACACATATAGATGCAATCTAAATGTAACAGATAACAATTTCTTAAAACAATAATTTTAGCTGAATTTGTTATTACCTTGCATTGCAGGTTTAACCCCTCCAGCTGGTATCCCAAGTATGTCCTTGTCAGGCTGTGAGGTTCACTGCCATTTAAATACCACTGCAGTGTACAGAGGCAGTGGTTTAAATGCAGGCTTGAGGGGTTAAAAACGTTTTTCGGCATTTATGCTAAATTTACTTAAGGGTAAATTTATGGTCCATGTGATGCTTTTGGATCACATTTATAATTTCTACTGAGGGGGGGGGGCACCATACTTTAGTCTGTAATGTGGGAGCATGTTGTATTTATTTGTTCTGGTTTCTAAACACATAAACCTTTATAAGGAGTAAGTCATTACCATATTTAAGGGATTAAAATCAGTGTTTCCAGCTACTGGACATCCAACTGTAAGAACCTGAAAAAAAAAAAAGGGTAACACAAATGAGTGACACAAACAGATTTTCACATCATAATGACGAACTTGATTATGAGCAAATTTCAGCTTCCCCCCACCCCTTAAACTTGTTAAAATTATTAGATGTGTTCTTGATCTCTATGTGCAATTTATACTGGATTTAACAAAACATGACCTGTCTCAGCTATTATCCAAGCACAACTAGCTGCTGATGCTGACATTCATTTAAACATACTTACTCAGTACAAGGCCATCCTTACAATATGTCATGCACTGGCAGAAACAAATATAAAAAATATTACAGTTTTAATAGTTATTAACTATACATAAGAAAAACATTTCAGCATGGCAGGGAATATTGGAAATCAATGTTCTTTTATAACAAGTTACACACAAAACAATTCAGCATAAGACTACATATAACCCTGGTCATAATAACCAATAATTATTACCTCTGCTTCTTTCCTATGCATAGGACAATCAGGTGGTGGACTTCCATGCAACCTACGGGATGTGGCTGTGAAATCTCCTTCTACTTCCGTCGAACCAACAATCTGTGCTGCTGTCATTTCAGCAGCAGACACTGTATTCCCCATAATTTACGAGTAAGTCAACTCAATTGTCTGGCCACTATGCTGTTAACAAGAAGGAAAACATGATTATTACATAAATACCAAATATTTAACGAACAAGTTGACGAATTCGTGAACTAAACCAGCTCCACAATACCACACGTACACTATTCTTAATATCCGCCAGTGGGCCAGAGTCAGCCTGGGAATTTAAAATGAGGCTACTATCTCTGCTTAAATAGCAGACGACTTCTATGTGCTCCACCACATACACGATACAAACAGTTAAGGTCAATTATGGGCGCTGAGCAGGTTGTGCAGAGAAATTGACGACGGCAGAAATATCCCTAATGATCCCTACGTTCCCTACCGTTCCCCACGGTTAAGGTTGCAGTTTTCTTTCCAGTGGTTTAATCGCGTTTTCATCATGGTCATCATGGAATGCTGGGCATGGGAGGTGTGTGTCACGGTTGTTTACGCCACAGATTTTGGGTAACATTTTTCGTCTTGTGTGACTAAAACTGCCTGCATTTTGGATTTCATTGTATACACTTGGAGTGGAACTGAAACGAACTAAAATACAGGATGTATTTTTTTTATTGCTAGTGGGGTGGGACCCAGTCCCTTGTACTGCGGCCACTCCTGGCCTAGTGAACCAACCCCAGACGATAGGTGAGGGTGGTTGTGGAGCAATTGGTGGAATGAAGATTGGCAGGGGAAACCGAAGTACTCGGAGAAAACCTGCCCCAGCGCCCACTTTGTCCACCACAAATCCCACTTTACCTGACCCGGGATCGAACCTGGGCCGCCGCGGTTGGAAGCGAGCGACTAACCGCTTGAGCTGTGGCGCGGCCCCAATACAGCATGTAAAAAATGTGGAAATTGCCGGCTTAGTTATTCGTATGTAGTTGCCACAGTGTCCCGATGAAGACCACCATTTTTACATATACGACAGGTACAAAAGTGCACTGCTAGTGAAAATGTTGCATGGGTTAAAGGGGAAGATAATTGAAATACTGATAACCACAAAAGCGATTTTCTGCATATTGGTAATAGACATCTATTCAGAACTACAGCGTGGATTTTTACTTAGCTTACCGGTTCCACAGCTCTATGCTTCACGGTGAACGGTGCACCGCCGGCTGCGAGGCGCATTCGAATTTTGCCGATGAATCAACATGCTTTACGGCCGATAACGTTCGGAATGAAGTAGTTACAATTCAGAGACCTCAGGATTTGTTGAAAATGCTGTTCCTCTGCACGTAGATATCCATCACAATTAATTGTGTCGTTAAAAGACATAGTACAACAATCCTTGCACTTAGAGCACACCATACACCAACTTTCAGTGGATGGAGTGGGGCTTTGTGCGTTAGATGCGGATTCTGTGGACTCCAGTAGCAGTTACTTTGTGTACTTATGTGTCCTTGCAAGTGAAACCATGCTTCATCAGGAAAGAATATCAATTGCAGATCAGTCAAATCAAATTCAGCAATTGTGTTTTCAGCCTTGCACCAGACTTTCACACTCCAGTCTCTTGCACAAGATATTTAAGTGATTTTCTAAGCATATGCTCAAGTCTTGCCCCCTGTGTCATCTAACTTCTCCTAAGTAAGCAGTTGGCACTTTTGGTTTTGTTTCTTTCTTTTAAAGAGTCCCATTGTTGTAAGTTTATTCATAAAATTGTGAATTGTTTGTCTTCTGGTAACTCTTTCATCACGAAATTTACGTTGAAATTTACACCATTTTCTAGCAGATCTGTATTTCACATAAATGTCATACAGAAATACATGTTGCTCTAAAGTGCACCGCACTATGATGTACCACACTGCTCACTAATTGTAACTGATAGCAAGTGGCAAATGGAGCTGATAACTGCTGCATACTGCTGACAAATCATAAACAAATCCCACACATGAATTGCACTGCCTGCAGTGAAATATAATGCTGGCAAGTAGTCCACAGGTTAATTACTTCCCTTCATTCCATACATTATCGGCCATCAGGCATGCAGATTTATCGGCAAAATTTGTATGTGCCTTGCGACAAGGTTTGCATCAGTTGCTGTGAAGTGGTGAGCAAAGTTAAAAAACTGTCTACATATGCTAAACATTCTGTCAGAGCAACAGGAAACGTTCTGGAATGGCGAATGTTAGATGGTTCAGAAAACATATTGTCTTATTTCTTAATGCAATTTTAACAGAATGTGCATTTGTAAATATGATTTTAGTAAACAAAAAAAAAAAAAAAAAGATTTTTTAATATATTTTCCTTCTAAAACACTTGTCACGATTCTGGCAAATCTGAAAAACTTGTGAAGTCAGATTTTACTAGGTTGTTGAGAATTCCGGAATATAGTTTTAGTTAGAGCTGCTCTTTGGAAAATTAACCTTTATGAGTGCTGGATTTGTTATTGGCAGCAGGTTCAGCTTCGGCACAAGTGTTGATGTTTGCTTCTTTTACTAATTTAATTAACTTTAATTGAAAATAATTATAAATATTTCAGATGATGGTATATAACAACAAACATGATGATTACTTTGGGCATTGACTGTCAGTTTGAGTTTTTTAAACAGCATTGTGGAAATATTTCCATCATCAGGTGTGAGGGAGGAGAGGCTCCTCTTACCTGCCCGCTAGAAACGGCTAGTCTCAATCAGTGGTCCAGCATTTGAGACTAGCTCTTTGTGTAAAGACCAGTGACTGAAGCCAGCTGTTTCTGATGGGCTCAAACATATATGAATTTTTCCTTCCTTACTCCTGCTTCTTCCAAGGAAGCCAGGTGGGACTGAAACTAAACGGTCTACGCTGATGATGTGAATCTACTGGGTGATAATGTAGATACCATAAAGAAAAACACACAAACTTTAATCATGACATAAAGATAGGAAACAGATGTTTTGAAAATGTGGCACAGTTCAGATATTTGGGAACGATAACAGATTGAAACCTGATTCAGGAGGAAATTAAGATTGTCTTCTCGTCTGTTGTCCAAAAACATAAAAATTAAGAATATACAAAACTATAATTTTGCCTGTGGTTCTGTATGGGTATGAAACTTGGTCTCTGACATTAAGGGAGGAACATAGACTGAGGGTGTTTGAGAACAGGGTGTTGAGGAGAATATTTGGACCAAAGAGAGATGAAGTGACAGGAGGTTGGAGAAAACTGCATAATGAGGAGCTTCATAACTTGTACTCTTCTCCAAGTATAATTAGAATGATCCAAGTCAAGGAGGATGAGGTGGGCAGGTCGTGTAGCACAAATGGGGGAGACAAGGAATGTGTATAGGATATTGGTGGGAAAGCCAGAAGGAAAGAGACCACAGGGAAGACCAAGGCGTAGGTGGGTGGACAATATTAGAATGGATCTTAGAGAGATAGGATGGGATGGTATGGATTGGATAAATCTGGCTCAGGATAGGGACCAGTGGAGGGCTCTTGTGAACACAGTGATGAACCTTCGGGTTCCATAAAATGCTGGGAAATTCTTGAGTAGCTGCAGAATTGGTGGCTCCTCAAGGGCTCGGCTCCATGAGTGAGTAAGTAAGTAAGTACTCCTGCTTCTACATGACTTATAAACTTGGTTCACGTCAACTCTGAAGATAGAAGCAGTACATTCTACCCAAAACATTGGTACCTACCTACCAAACTACTGTAATCTTATTACTCACTGCCATGAGACCCTCAAATCTAGTACAGTTTATTTTTATGCATCTTCCTGGACATGTTACAGTGCTTTCACCTAACATTTGAATGGTTATGTCCATGCCAGGTTAGTGTAAAGTTTTGGCTGCAGTATTAACATACAGAAACACTTGCTACAACACAGCGACAAGGAGACACAAAAATTTTTGTTTCAGACCAGTTTTTATTTAGGACAGGAACTTGATAAAAAAATATTGCACTGTAGGATAGTCCTTATCATATGCTAAAGATTCATGTTGCAGCCATTAATATGCAACACATATTTTCATGATCATTCTTCCAGTAATACATTAACAAAATCTTCATATACTGTGTGTTGACATTACGATTTCTGTTCTTCCCATTTCTGACATGGCACTGGAAAGGTGCAAGACACTACTAGCCTTTTGGGAATGCTGAGAATACCAGACACACATCAGTCTGCAGCTGTAGGTCCCACACGTAATGGATCTCAGAAAGCGAGAGAGTGTAATGTTAATGTGGATAGTCGCTGTTCTGTCATTAAATTTTTATCTGCCATGTAGAACAGTTTTTCCATATTTCTGATGTAAATGCCATGCATTACTGAAATCAGGAAATTATATCATCATGTGTTTATCCATTATTCTTCAGTCTTATCATCTGCTTCACATAAATACAACATAGTGTGTCATCGGAATTATGGGACCCTATTATCGCTTATTTTATTTATTTGTAGTGGTAATAATAATTGTATATAACATTTTCTTCAATTTTTGTTCATAATCAGCAACTGCAACAATTCCCAAGTTAGTGTAGCACAAATCTCAATATACACTTAAGGAGAGCAAGTTTGTAATGACTTGAACGTTTAATAGAGCTGATTTCTTTGCATTAGAAAATTACATATGACTTGCCTTTCTTTTGTTAGTATCAATACACAGAGCTTGAAAATTATATTAAATCTTACCCATCAATCTGAAAATGCATTCAAGCTTCTGAAAAAGTACACCATAATTATTACTGTTGTTACTGCTTACTATTATTGGTTTTATCACTTCAGTATTTGGTAACGGGTGCAAATTAAAGTTCTTCATTATCCACTTTCTCCAGCCTTTCATTACTTCCTCTTATGTACATATACTCTCCTCAGCATGCTTTTAAACAGCCTCAACCTATGTGCTGCCCTTAAGGTGAGAGACTAACTCAAAAGGACATATAAAATTGTATTCTGCATATTTCAGTATTTATATTGTGGCACATAGACCTGTTGCTATGCAACGACTGTGAAAAACAGTTATTCCACAGCCGTTACTGAGTAACAGCTTCACAAAAAAGCATGTTTGCATGGCAATAATTGGAAACAGTAACAGAGGAACTGTTTTTTTCTGTGCAGTCGGTGCCAAGATATTATAAACAAAACAACTGGAGCAATGAGTTAATTGTGAGACAATTGCCAGCCGATAAGAATGTGAGCATGGAAGCAGAGGACATTGTTGAGATCTCTCACCAGGCAAGGACTGGTTACAGTCATGCAAACTAAGAAGACTTTATGTGTGCTCTGGTTACAGTCATTTGTGAAGTGTGTAGAACAGTGACAGCATAATCCTTATTTGTAGTTATGTTCTGTAAGTGTTCAATAA